TTTCTCTCTCTCTCTCTCTCTCATGTTCCAGGTACTAAGCTCTGAAGATGGCGCCATGCTGCGGGTACTTTGAAGACGAAGTTGGAGCTATGGCGCTGCAGGTAAGTCTCCTTGGCCTCCGCCAAATCTCTCTCACCCTCCAGTACTACTTTAGCTCCTACTAGCACCCAGTGTTGAAGACTACTGCTAACGCTACTACTACTACTGCAACACTCCTCCAGAATGCTGCTGCCGAATCCTGAAGACTACCTCCTGCCTCCCGAAATGCATGTGAAGCGCCTGGGAAATCCATATGAACTACTTGCAGCCTGCAGGGCAGGCCAGTCTTATGTAGTGCTGGCCCGTCCAGGAGGCTGCTCTTACCAATGCCAAAACGTGCCAGACCCTGGCGTTCAAGCTCAAACAAAGGTTGTCTTTAAAACACGCCCAAAATGACCTGTGCTAAAACCCTGGTCTGGTGCCTAAGTTTCAGGGCAGGTCGATCTTATGAGGGCCTGAAAATGGCCCTCTGTTTTAGGCTGAAAAGATAGGGTCTGGAGGGCTGTGTTTTAGGCTGAAACGACACCGGGTCTGTAGGCCCTTGTTTTCAGGCTTTCAGGCTGAAACGACACAGGGCCTGTAGGCCCTTGTTTTCAGGCTTTTGGGCTGAAAACGAGACAGGGCATGTAGGCCCTTGTTTTCAGGCTTTTAGGCTGAAAACAACGCATGGCCTGAAAATGACCCTCGTTTCAGGCCTAGCATGTTGCAGGCACAACGTGTAACACCCCCCCCTCCTTATGAAGTCAAGCCGGGTCGAGGGCGAAGCTGACGATCTGAAGGTGGAACTTGGACGCGGGTGCATCGTGGAGCCGAAGATAACGGCTTGCCTTGCATCTTGCGTTCGTAGCGTGCGAGAACATCTGGAGTTGTTGCTTGGAGTTCCAGATGGGTCAACCAACGGTCAACTTTGTGGGTGCAGTACGCAAAGTGTACCAAGTATTCGGTTGGCCTGTTGCTGTAGCGTCGCTAGGACATGATGTCGTCGACCTCTTGAAAATTGTCCATAGAGGGTGGGTCTTGCGATCGTCGCCCGTGAAAATCGTCATGTTCCGCTGGCGTGTAAAGAGCCAACTTGGAGTAATGAAAGACCGGGTAGACGGGCAAGTGGGCGGGCACCTGAATGGTGAGGGAAGGTCCTTCGGTGTGACAAAATGACCCAAGTATTGCAACTCTTGCCGGATAAATTCGCACTTGTCCCGGTTGGCTTTGTACTTGGCGCGGCGGAGCGTCTCCAACACTCGTCGAAGTTGCTCAAGATGATCCTCCAATGTCCGGTTATAGACAAGAATGTCGTCTAAGTAGACTAGCACGAACCGTTCCAACATCGTACGAAACTCGTTGGTCATTGCCGCTTGAAAGGTCGTCGGGGCGTTGGTGAGGCCAAAAGGCATGACCACCCACTCAAAATGCCCATACAGCGTCTTGAACGTGGATTTATAACGATCGTTCGGCCGGATTGAAATCTGATGGTATCCTGATTTCAGATCCAACTTAGAAAAGTACCTCGCACCACCCAATCGCTCAAGGAGATCGTTAATACGAGGAAGATGCCCCGCATTCTTGACGGTTTGCGTGTTGAGCTTACGGTAGTCGATGCACAATCATAGATCCTTGTTTTTCTTCTGTATAAAGAGACACTACAGACCATACACACCGTTACAGATCGTACAGTGACACTAAGCCAAATGAGGCAGATCGTACAGTGACACTAAGCCAAATGAGGTAAGACATAAGACCTCTCTCTACTACACAAAAAAGAAGTGGAACAGTCTTTCGGGACATCTGTTAAAATTGGAACAGTACATCTTTTGATCCTGGTGCTGTGCTCAGTGTTTCTTAAGGAGGGCATTACTCCCTAAGGGGCAGGCTGATTGCCACTTTGGGGGGCGTGAGAGGAGGCGGTAGGTTGCACTTTGACGTTGGCGGAGGGGATGCGGACACCCGCACGAGGCTAAACAGGCTGACCGGTCTCCACAACGGTAGGCTGGTTATCCTCCTCGGACGAGGAGGGGGGTTCGGGGGTCGACTCAATTATTCCTCGCTGTCGCTTTGGTTTGTATAGTCGCTGTCTCTTATACACATCTTAGGTTGCACTTTGACGTTGGCGGAGGGGATGCGGACACCCGCACGAGGCTAAACAGGCTGACCGGTCTCCACAACGGTAGGCTGGTTATCCTCCTCGGACGTGTGGGGGGGGGGGGGCGGGGGTCGACTCCGTTGTTCCTTCTTGTTGCTTTGGTCTGTATAGGCGCTGGGCATGAAGCCGAGTCAGGCCTGTGTTGCTTGCGGTTCCCTTGACTTGTTGTGCAACAGATGTTTGGGTGTTTTGCGCTGTTTCCCACTGTCCTTTCCCGTCTTCCTATTATGTTAGTGTTTGTCATAGGCTTCGGCATAGCTTGGCCGCGCCTAGCACCCTGTTCCGGTGGATCCGGGGTGACCCCCTGTTTGCCTTTCTGTTGTAATCATCGTTAATTACCACCCTGGCTCCTGCTGGAAAAACTGATGGTTGGCCTTTCCCCTGCCAAAACCATTTCCCGGGGCGACCATCTGCATATGCTCTGAACATCTAGCCATCAAGGTCCTTCTCTACAGGGAACCATCTCTCTTCATCCGTCGGGTGAGGGGTAACCAGACCTCTGATTTTCGTTTTGTGATTGTTCGGGCACTGGTAATCGGTGCATAGGTGGGCCCTTGCTTTGCATGCATAACACCACGGATCCTGCGTATGGCTGACAAGGACCGATAATTCCTTGCCCCCTTGGGAATATCTTCATTCCTCATTTAAGGGGAAGGGGTACGACTTATCCCAGTCCACTACCACCAATAGAGAGTCATCGCGCTTGCCCAAGCATTGGGGTAGGTCCATGATGTACCCTTTAACATGGGCGATGTTTTCTAGATCTGTGAGGATCGCACCCTGCACACAGAGCGGTGCGAATCGAAATTCGACCCAAAAATTCGAATTCATCAAGTGTTCCCTTCGCTCATCACTGGATTGCGGGTTAGCCAGCGACCAAGAGACCACTTGCACCTGTTTGCCTCTGAACTGCAGTACCTTATTCTTTAGAATTATGTGTTTGTCCGTCGAGCACAAAGCCACAACTGTGATGCAGTCCTGATTGTCCACCGCGATCAGGAAGTGGTCGTGCACCAGCTGGCGGTCCGGTTTAATCTTTCGACTGTGCTGGTAGGAAACAGAAGTGCAAAGCTTTGTGTGAATAGATCGTGTCCCTGGTAATCCTAGCTTGATGTGGGAAGATGGAGTGAGGGAAGATGAAGCCCTCTCTGACTTGGAACTTTCTCTCCGGCTCCACATACAATTGCTGTATGAAATGACTTTTCAGTGGTGCCATGTGGCCGAGGATGGAGGATCTGTTAGCGTCCGACGGATCCGGGCCCGAGAGCGCTTTCATCAATTGCAGAGGGGGTTTCTTCCCAAACCCTGAGGTGGAGGGAAGCTCTTGGGGTGACACTTCACCTCCTGCCATTATGTTCCTCCATGCGGCGTTCGTGTTCGCATCCTTTGTTTGCCCCTGCACCTTTGTATTTCGGTTTGGCTCTTGTCCCCCACCTTCCATCTTCTTTTCGTTCACTTGTCCCGATGTCGGGAGGGGGATAACAGTGTCTGGCTGTATCGTCGTAGTTTTAGTCTGTGCGTGATTTTTATTCGTCATCCTTCCCTCCCTCACATCAACCTTTTGTGCCTGCTCTTTAGTTGACACTTTGCTTTCTTTTGCGTCTGCCTAACCCACTCCTAGACTTGGGATACGACTGGCCCACCAGCCACGTGCCCATAAATAGAAGAGTGCAGTTCAAGCCATGTTGGTGGAGGGGAGTGAATCACCTGACAAAGGACTGCATGGACGAGATGGGGATTGCAATGACACTGCCTTTCTGGGATCTGCGGTACCATCTCCTGGAGCCGGGACAGGGCAGGCCCGACAGCCACAGTCACACAGGGGAGCAGTTCGGGACTCGGTGGAACAACCAAGAGGGAAAGACTGTAATTCTCTTGTCAAGACAAAGGTGTCACCTACCCCTCCCCCCACTATACTAGAGGGTTACAAACAGCCCGCCTCCGGGGCAGGCAAAACACTTGATGCAGGAACACAAGAATGACGAGCTAACAACGATGTCGATGTCCGCACAAAGACAATGACTGAGCACACTCAGCCACCGGTTGCACCAGGACCGTCAGGGTCAGCCACTAAAGGCGGTAACAAAGATGTCGCTGTCCGCACAAAGATAATGACTAAGCACACCCAGCAACCGGTTGCACCAGGACCGGCAGGGTCAGCCATTAAAGGAGGGACAAAACAGGCACAACAACCCCCTACACTCAAACAGAGAGCCATGCAGGTCCAGCAACCGACACTCTTGGAGTCAGCCCAATCCTCTCCAAAAAAGCAGGGTGGGCGGACGGTTCTTCCCAAACCACAGCAATTGACGTCGAGCGACCCGGGAAGTACGCGCACGTCCCTGGGCTTAGAAAAGTTCGTCCATAACAGCCCAGCGTTGGTACCAACGGGAAGCATCAATGTAACGAGGGAGGGGATCACAAACTCCGCGAAAATGCAGCAGGTCTAGCAGAAAGCCGACTCGCTCCTTAACAAAATAAAGGACGTTGCGTTTTCCCAGCATTGGAAACTGCCTCGTCTTAATGCTCGAGCATCGGAATCTTCCCCCCACGTCCACCGGAACGCTATGCCCACACCACAAGACAACCCACCGGGATTGGAAGAGGGTGCATTGGGTCAAGCAACAGCGACACAAGAGTCCCAGTCCATGCAGCTGCAACTATCTCAACCCCCAAAACAAAGCGATGTCGGATCACAGGAGGATCGATTGGAGAAGTCGCAACTCCAAAATCTTCACCTGCAATCGTCGCAATCCCCCCAACAAACTCACCAAAAACGACAAGGGACACAACTGCTCATACTCTGCGACCCGGACTCTAACCACACGTCTAATACAAGACTCAGAGAAGTGGTCTCGGACCTCACCGGGGAACGGAAGTTCCAGCTACTCCCCTCCCTGCTGACCACTACACTACAGGGGGGCAATAGCAAACACTGCGACCCGGTCTCTGATCACAAACCTAACAGAGACTCAGAGAAGTGGTCGCTGACCTCACCGGGGAATGGAAGTTCCTGCTACTCCCCTCCCCTCACACCGCTACGCCACAGGGGGGCAATAGCAATTACAAAGCTCTGATCGAATGGGACTACCAGAGCCAGCAACAGCAAATGGACCAAGCGTCCCTTCAAGATCAACCTCACAACCGAGTGCTAGCACAGGCCAAATCACTGCTCCATTAGCAACCCATGGCACGAGGTGAGGGGGAGACAGAAGAGGAGAACCACGGACCGCGACAGCAGTCGCAGCAACAGGAGGTGCTGCCACTACAAGCTGAAAAGCACCAACAGCCGCCTCGGCTGAACAGCCAACAGCAGAACCAGGACTGCCTCACACCTGAAATGCACAGCCCATCAACACACCAACAGCATCAACACCAGCCACTGCAAGAGGTACGACACGTACACCAACCACTAGCAGTTGCCATACCACCATGGTGTCCGACATGTGCCACCTCAACCCGAGAAAACAAACAGGATGCTAATTCAGCAGGATCATTTCCAGTGTTAGGGCAGAGATAAGGACGAGGGGCAACTCCCAGCAAAAGTGCAACAGGAGCATCAACAAAGCCTCGAACTCCAGCAGGCCCAACACCAACACCAACACATGATGCAGACACAATAGAGGCGCCAACCACAAGACCAGACGCTCCAAATCCAACAGCAAGAGGATCTACATCACCAACCGATCCTCCACCACCAACAACATTTACAACTGCCCCAGACCGAAGACCACATACAGCTGCAACAACAATCCCAATCACACTATCACCAGCAGCAAGAGCAGCTGCAACAACAATTGCTGCTCCAACAACATCAACAGTTCCAGTTCGCGCAAACTCAACAACAGGAACAGTTGCTGCAACAACAGATTCAGCTCCTGCACCAAACCCAAGTGCAGACTCAGCAACAACAACGACAACACAGCCTGCAAAGGAGAGAGTGTGACGAGCACCCCCATCTCCTGCTACAAGCGCAGTTGGCGCAATACCACCATCAGCAGTACCGAGACAGACAGGCACCACAACAATGCATCCTGCAACACTTGCACCTGCAATGGCAGCAACAACTCTGTTCTCAGCAACAACAAATTCTGCACCACCACCAACAACAACTACAAATTTTCAGACAGCAAGAGGTGGAGAGACTAAGGGCACAGCAACAGCAAATACAGTACTAGCTTGAACACTCGTATATTGTCCTCCCAGGCTGGTATGAGGAATGGCAGAAGCCACAGGACATGGACACCTCGGCCCCCCCACCGGAGCCTCCATCACCAATGCAGCAGCAAGCACCGCCCTTGGATATGGAGGTGGAAACAGCCCCACCAGTGAGCCCCCCGTCGGACCAAGGTAGCCCCCCACCTTTTATAGCCAATGATGAGGTCCAGCAAAAACTGGCATTCCTCATAGACTGGACTCTCACGAAGATATTATCCCAAACGCATGACAAATCGGGATACAAACGGGACAGGCCAAAAAGGTACTGATGTATAACCCTCGGGTGCTGACCACAATGGAGAAGTAAACAATTTAGCTTGCAACAAGAATGTGCGCACCACGAAAGTTGGTTGGAGGGACCTCTGCAATCAAGGGAGACACAGATGCAGCTACAACTACCCCCGTCTGGAAAGTTGAGGGAGCAAGAGAAACAGATTCAGAAAGTTGTTTCCCTCCACCCCTTCCAGTTGCGCATCCAGGTGACCGAAATACTGCATGATGATGATGAGTCCACACAACCTGAGTCGGACGATGATCTCATCCAACACACCCTTCCTAAAACGTTTCACGAACTGGTTAGGCTCCAGGAGGATGACACCGCCCCGATATCATTGCCACCAGGAGTGGTCATCTTTCCGCTCACACGAAAAAATGGGCAATGGGAGTGGTTCCTTGGACTTAAATCACCTAAGGCTGGCGTCCAACATTCCTCCCGACTGAAGTCTGACACACTCCAACTTGCTTTCACCGTGGAAGGGTGGAGGGGTTCTCCCTCTACGGCTATCATCCTGAAACGTCTGAAATGTTGGATCAGAGAAACTAACACTGAAGATGTTATGGGGGTTGTGCTACCTTACGCACTCTCTCTTCAAAAGGGTATTATCCCGGTCGTACTGCTGCTGGATCCCAAAGTCAAAGCCCTCAAAACTGGCTCGGCCTACAGATGGTTCTCACACCAGCAGTTGCTGGAAATGTCCACAGCATGCTTTATGACTAATTTTGCTTGGACTCGTAGCAGGGTTCTCATTTTTATACAGATCTTTCTGGAGGACAATGTGTTGGATGAGCACAACCACTGGGATCACCCTACCTCTCTTCTTTCGCTTAAAAGCATGTCTGTCAGACCAAGGGAATTCGACGAAAATGAATTCATCAAGCACAATGCAAGATTCTAGAGGAGGACATCAGACCAAGGGCCCGCCAGCAGGACAAGCCCCTATTCTACACCAAGTCCAAGTCCAACCGCCCCCCCAGACGGGGGCAACAAATCCACCCCATCCTCCGCAAGCCCCTCCACCCAGTGTGCGTCCTCCATCAACCCCGGTTTTCCCACGAGTTAGGGGGCCACCCCAATGGGCGTCCAAGTTGGCTAGAGCAGATATAGATGTCCGCTCACTTAACGTTAACGGTCTGATCCAAGCAACAGTGGACAAAAAAAAGGTCATATGGAATATGATAAAGTGTCCAGCTACGGGGAGATGGCCGGACGCGGTATGTGTCCAAGAAACACACCTAGAGTACATCCCCTCGCACATAGCAAAGGCAAAATCTATCTGGCCCTATGCAGCCTTTTCGGCACCTGCAAGGGATAGGGCATCTGCAGGTGCGCCATTCTGGCTCCCACTGGGCTCAAACCTCATGCCCCTGAGCGTGGATGTCGATAGAAAACAAGGGAGGTGGGTATGCCTTAAAGTTGCTTTTGAGGAGGAGTTTTATTTGGTCAGCATTTACGCACCCAAGGACCCGAATGATAGAGTCGATCTTTGGTTGGCCCTCCACCAACACCTGCCGAGTGATGCCCTGATAATTCTGGTCGGGGACTTTAATACCACACTGGACCCTTCCTTGGATCGCAGATCCACTTCACAGCGACAAGTCCCCGACTCCCCTTCGTTGCCAAGTCTGGGTCCAGACATTTTGATGCTCAAACAACTCATGGCAGATCGGAAACTAGAAGATGCGTACAGACTGCTGCACCCCACCCAACAAGCTTATACATGTCTGTCAGCTAGGGGAGACTGGGGCCTTGCCAATTCGCGCATTGATCTCACGCTAGTTACAAAGGATCTGGTAGGATTGGTTACAACTGGCCCTCCACCAACACCTGCCAAGTGATGCCCCGATAATTCTAGTCGGGGACTTTAATACCACACTGGACCCTTCCTTGGATCGCAGATCCACTTCACAGCGGCAAGTCCCCGACTCCCCTTCGTTGCCAAGTCTGGGTCCAGACATTTTGATGCTCAAACAGCTCATGGCAAATCTAGAAGATGCGTACAGATTGTTGCACCCCACCCAACAAGCTTATACATGTCTGTCAGTTAGGGGAGACTGGACCCTTGCCAATTCGCGCATTGATCTCACGCTAGTGTCAAAGGATCTAATAGGATTGGTTACAACGACCGAAATAACCACCATCAGTCCTTGTAAATCATTTGATCACAGGATGATTACACTCAGGCACTCCTTCCATAGTCACATCCAAAGAGGTCCCGGGTTCTTAAATTTAACACATCCCTGCTTCCCCTGCCAAGGTTCAAAGAACTGGTTAAAACATTCTGGTCTTATTGGCAAACCCAAAAATTGGAAACAGGAGATAGGGTGAGCTCGTTCAATGAGGGTGTCGCCCAACTTAGGGAGAGGACTAGGAAGTTTTCCACCCAACATGTAAGGGACCGGAAGGCCTGTTTGGAATCGCTGATGAATGTCCTAGAAGGCTGGGATGAACAACTCATGAACGACCCCCTGCACCGCCTCTCGTATGAAGAGCTGCAACAAGCTCGGGACCGCCCACAAGAGTATATTCAACAGCAATCGGAGGCGTGGGGGATACAGGCTAGACTTAAGTGTGCCCACACTGAAGGGATAATGGCGAAGGCCTTCTTCAACAAGGCAAAGCTCAGAGCAAGAGTAAATATTGTCCCAAGGCTCAGACACCCCGTGGACGAGACAACTCCGGTTGCATCCAACGCCTACTCTATAACAAATTATGTTGCCGAATACTATCGGAATGTGTTCACATCCCAAACACCTAACAAGCAACCCGATGAGGTCCAACACGCAAGGGAAGAGTTGTTGGACGCGGTGCACTCGCACCTCACACATAACCAAAGTGGCGAGTTGGATAAACCCCTCTCCATTCAAGAGATCTGGGAAGCGCTACAAGATATGGAAGATGAAAAGACTCCTGGCATAGACTCTTTCCCTTAGGAACTCGTGGTACAGTTTTGGGACCTTCTCAAAAAAGATCTTATGGAATATATCCAAGATATTCAGAAAGACGACACTTTCGGAGGCTTGATAGGGCAAGGGGTCACCACACTTCTCTACAAAAAGGGTGACAAGGAAGACATTTGAAACTATAAGCCCATCACCCTTTTTCCTGTGCCCTATAAAATGGTGGCAAAAGCGCTCACTAGACGGTTGTTGCCACTAATGAATGTACTGATCCACCCAGATCAGACAGGATTTATGCCTTACCGCAATATCCAAGATGACATCCTATTAGTCAACGAGACCATAAAGTATGCTCGTCAGCGGAAGGTCTAAACGGCCATTATGTTCATAGACTTTGAGAAAGCGTACAATCATGTGAACTGAGATTTCTTGGATATGTGCCTTGCTAAGATGAATTTCGGCCCGACCTTTTGCCACTGGGGGCAGCTCCTTCATAGGTCAGCCACCACGAACAATATGCTTAACGGTCATCTCTTACCGCCAATACAACTTCAAAGATCAGTGCGACAAGGCGATCCGATTGCGCCCCTGCTATTTGTCATAGTTATGGAGGCTTTGGCGTCACTAACCACAGCCCACCCCAGGATCAGCAAAATGCCTATCCCTAAAATTCCGCACCATCTCATTCCGGTCAGTGATCACGTCACTGTTCACAAACGATCTCACCGTGCTCTTCCGAGCAAATGCGGATAGTATAAAAGCCCTCAGAGAGCTCATACACCTCTTCTCACTGGCGGCAGATATGAAAGTCAACTGGGGAGCTAAGACGGAGGGATGGTGGCTCCACCCACAAGGAGACCCCCCCCCCCACGAAACAGTTGTGGCCTGGGCAAGGAAGAAGGCCAGCTGAATTCTTTGAGTCAGACTCACTGCGCTTGGGCCCCCACTGGCAGCGGATCATGGAGATATGCTGGTGAACATGGCAATAGACCGGTTGGCTAAATGAGACGGGCTACACACGTTACTATAGGGCGGGCCTTGGCCATCAATAATGCCGTTTTGGCAGCCATTTGGTACAAAGTGGCAGTCTGACCACTGAAGCCACAACAATACGCCAGACTCTTGAAAGCATTAACACGATACCTCTGGAAGAATAATTCTGAAACATCAGCATGTATACAGACTATTACAGAGGGTGGCATGGGATGTCCTCACCCAGCCAAGGGCTAGAGGGGGGCTGGGAATTCTAGACCCCGAGAAAGAGAGTGAAGCATTGATCTTTAAGGTTTTGGTCAGGCTCCTCATAGGTAATGATATCCCATGGGCCTCGCTGGCCTGTTCACAGATTGCCAACTTGACACCCCAGACACCTGAAATGTCGGCGGCCAAAAAACTGCATCCCTTCCGGTGGCTAACTAATAAGTACTGGACTATCCCCTCCCCTCCTCAACAACGACAAACAAACAACCCACAACAGGCGGTCAGAGAAGATATAATGCTCGACCCCATGTGGGTGTATATGCTAAAAATGTGGAGGAGACGTCCGCAACAGAAACAACCTCCCAACAGATGGCAGGATATTTGGAGGCAGCCGTTGTTCGGCAACCCATGGGTGTTGGACGAAGAAGGAAATCCATTTGTCCTCACAACAAACTCCCCTTGGCTCACGTGAGCCAAAAGGGGAGTTTTTACGGTGGGAGACCTATGAGACCCGAAGACAACAGATTGGGCCACGTCTGACCAACTGCAGTTGAGACTCAAACATGTCAAAAACGTGGGGAAGAAGGCGACTAAGCTGAGAGAGACTCTCCCCCTAGCCTGGCGACTTTCCCTCAGAACCGGCCCCACGGTGGTGCAAGACGACTGGGTGGTTAGGCACAAGGACCTTCCCTGCCCTCAGACCATATATAGGGTACAAAGCAATGAACTGGAGCGCTGCACATTACAAGCGTATGAGCCCCAGACAACAGGGGCCATAATTTCCAAACTTTCGAGGAATAATAA